CGGGGCGGGGCGGGGCAGTCACCTTAAGGACCTGCTGCTCTTTCCGGAGGGAGGCAGCTAGCCGTGGAGAAGCCCCAGACACGAAAGTCCCTGGTCAAAAAGCCCCGAGAAATCCGTGGAGGAGCTACGGAAGTCGCTTTTAGAAATAATCACTCCTGCAGTTCGCTTCGCTCCTCTGTTTCTTGAAGTACAAAATGTCACTTTTGCCTTCATCCCAGTTTCCTGCGGACCTGCATGGCTTGGGGTCTGGGAAAGGCAGGAGTTGACGGGCAGTCACCAGGTGCGAGACGGAGATCCATTTCTGGGACACCAAGAAGGAACCCAGATGGAAGCGCCTGTGTCCAGTGGCTCCAGTGAAGCTTCATCGGCCTCGTTTCCAAACCTCAGTTTTTGCATTTGAAGATGATGATTGTGAAGATGACAGGAGCTGACGCGTTTAACTCATCGGACGTAAGCTCAGTACGCAGTAAATGGAGCTGTTTTTATTTTTCAAACAACTTAATTTTTCAAAATACAGTTCCCAACCCCAGTTGTGTTCTTGAGCTTTCTTGCTCCCTGGAAAAGGCTCCTAGGCACCAGCTTTGGTGTCCCTGTCACATGTCGCTGGAGGCCAGCGGCACCCTCAGGCCTTTCCCTCTAGCCTCTCAGAGCCAGGTCACATTCAGCAAGACCTGAAGATATTTTGGGTGGTCACACTGGGATGATGCTGTTCGCTTTCAGTGGGGAGCAGCGGTGCTGCTGAGTGTCCAGGATGGCCTCACAACGGATGACCACCTGGGCCCAAACGGGAAGCATGGCTCCACAGCTGAGAAGCCCTGCCCCACCTGCAGGAAGCCCGGGGAGCCCCCGTGCCTTTACACACCTGCACTTCCCAGGGGACCCAAGTGGTCCACACTGCCCACCACCAACTCCGCCAGAGCTCCCAGCACACCCTGGTGAAGTGTCTGAGTGAGCAGGGAAGCATCTCGTCATTTAGCTACCGACACTCCCCAGTCAAAGGTTTGAGCTCCAGTTGCAATTTTCCATATCACGTTCCCTAGGTCTCCATATACGGTTCAAGACCCCTGCACACTGAGTGGCTAAATTAAGCTAAAGTGAAGCATTCTGATCTTTGTAATCGTACTCAAACACAATATTCAGGTCTTAATAGAGAACACACCATATTTGGATCTGATCAAACCTGGAGCTAAGGATCCCAGAATGGTACTGACCATGGTGGTCTGGACCTAGACCTGGGAATTCCCAGTCCAGACTGCTCTACAGGAATGACTGACACTCCCCGGAGCTACCTGTGCTACCATCGACACTTGGTGTCACAGCAGTGTCTCTGCTCATGAGGAAGGCTGGTCCGACAGCATCTCCTTGCTGAGCAGCTGCAGGAGCACGTGGTAGAGCTGAGGTGGACAGGTTCCTACCACGTGGCAGTATTTAAAAGTCAGAGCCATTCACGCCAGCCCTGCCCTTTTCCTTCAGCTTACCCCAAATTGCCAACAGTCCCTTCCTCTAAAGAAATGTATCATTACTACTCAGGGAGAAACTGAGGTTTCCAGAAGAACTTGAGGAAAAACAAGCCCATGGGACGTACCCAGAAGAGTCAACATGGAAGGGATAAAGCCAACCATCTATAAAGAAGCCAAGACAGGTTTTGTAAGTGAGAGTTGGAGAGGAGACATTGGACCACCCAAGCCCAGGCATTTCGGCTAAGGTTCCATATCAAGGAAGTACGTCTGAGTACAAAAGAAAGCGGAAACCTACCAGCCAGTTCAGCGTTCTGTAACACATTAAAGGAGACTGTGTGGCCCAGACGGCAGAGGTTCAGTGTTTGCAGTTCTGGAAGCTGGGGAGGCCAAGACCAAGGTGCCTGTCTACGTGGCTCCTATGAGGGCTCCTTTCCTGGCTGCAGTCTCCTCAGCACGTCCTCAACCTGAGGGAGAAAGGACACCCCTGGTCTCTTCCCCTTCTTATAGAGGCACCAGTCTCAACAAGGTGGTCCACCTTCATGACCTGGCCTATCTGATACCCCCCCAAAGCCCCACCTCCGTCCCTGGATCAGGGCTCCACAGACGTGCTCTTCATGGCCATTACTGAGTCTTGCCGGATAGACTCCATCAGCTGAGGAGGGTGGGAGTGATGGACGCAGACAGGGAGTCCTCACTGTCAACCAGAACCTACTAACTAGACATCAGAAATCACCTTCTAGAAACCTCTGCATCTGGCTCAGGCCACCTGCCTTCAGCTCTGTCTCAGCCCCCACTCCTCACAGCTCCCCCTTGGGACCTCAGTTTCGTCTTCCATCAAAAGGAAGAAAACATGAACTCCTCCACACGCTCCTTCTGTGGGGATCTGGCGCATGGCCGTCATTGCTAATTTGCCTTCTCTGTGCCCGAGAGTTGCCTTTTATCTCTACCTAAATAGTACTGCCATTTTCTTAGTGAAATTAATTTTAACTAAGTCTTAGGGGGGAGAGTCTTTTGATTGAACAAATTTATATTAATGTGTTTCTGATAAATAAGTCATTAACCCTTCAAAAAGCATCTGGTAGCTTCTTAGGGTCCATGTTAACTGAAAAAGTCCAAAAATTTGCAGGCTTGAGGGTCTCCCACAGTAGGACACAGTCAAGTGGTAAAATGCAGGGGCTTTGGACGGGGACTCCACCTCCAGGTATCATCTTCCCCCAAATTGTGCTTCCCAGCCTTGCCTTCTGCTCCCAGAGATTCTGCACTCGCCTTCCCGGCCAAGTTCACCAACCTCGTCCATTTAGGCCTGTGGTGTCCAGTCACGTGGCATTTTCTCCCAGTCAGTCCTTGCCATGCAGACACACAAACACGCAAAACAAAGAGCTCAGCCCTGTCCTATCCCATGACCCTGCTGCCCTCATGCTCACAGTTATCTGTCCTGGAGTAGTGTCTGTGACTGCTACACACGTGTGCAAGTTGTATCAGCAACCAGACAGCAGCAGCCCCAGTCACCCGCAATATCTGAAGGCTCCTTGCGCTAGACTGCATGAATTTTATTTCCCTCAGTTAGCTCAGAAAATGTTACTCCACTCCCATGATGCCAAACACAAAAGTCCAGAATTGGCCCTAAATTCCTTAACCAGAGACACTTCTTAGGATAATGAATTTGCATGGACTCCTTAACTAGACCATCCCTGGTTTGAATCTCAGTTCCATCATTTCATACCTTTGCCTCTTTGGACAAGTTATTTAATCCATCGAATCTTAAATATTCCATTCCATAAAATGAAGCAGAATGGCATTTCCCCACCCCACACTCCAACCCTGTAGCCAGGGCAGCAGGCTGAGCTCTCCGGTGGGGGGAGCTGAGCTAGCACCCAGTGCTTCTAAAAGGGGAGGTAGCCTCAGCTGGCTTCACTGTGGAGCTGCTGATGTTCCCCCCCCCCCGCCCCTGGGAAGCAGGATTTCTGAGTCCTGTCCAAGCTGCCAAGGCCCCAGGGCCAGGTTGTGCAGACTTGATGAGCAAGTTCCAAGCCCCATGCTGCCACCACAGCCCGACGCGACAGTGGTGCGTTTTTGATGGATGCATCTTTTTAATATTCTCATGCAGTAGCCTGCCTACTGCCTCTAGTTTGATCGTTTTCTTAAAAAAGACAAAAAAAATTATGAAATACATGCTTTAAAAGAGGTGAAAGATCTAAGAACACATGGGTAACAGAGAATCAAAATTTATATCTACTTCCAGTGTTTTGGTGACATTCATCAGTCATTGCCCATCAATGTCTTAGACATCAGAAGCACTCCAGTCCCCTACTGCCACCTGTCCTCCTTTACCCGCAGCTGTCAATCATTGCACAGCATGGGGCAAACCCCTACCACCAAGCCAAGAAAACAGGGAGTCTCATCTCAGCTCCTTTAAGAAATAGGCTGCAGGCAAAAAGCACAAGGATTAAGAAGGTGCAAATCAATCCCAGGACCCATGGAAACAGAGCACTTTCTACAGGAAGCCACCAAACAATGACTGGGTCAAAGAAAATGGCTTTACTGTTGGCATCTCAATAGCAGATAAAATTATATAGTTTGAAGCTTGACAATTGAGTAGTACAAAGGAAATTAGGAGAGGCTAAAAAAAAAAAAAAAAAAAACTGTTCCTAATCTATGCCGCCTCCTTCAAAGCCTGTTCTTAGGATCCGTTGCCCTGAGGGGACCTGAGACTTGCAAGTCCAAGGCCACTGCAGAAAAGTGCCAGTCACGTCAAAGTGCCTGGGGTCTGTGATGTACTGTGTCATGTGAGGATTTCAGGGAAGCACTGGGAAAGGGCATGTCCCTCTGCCTCTCCTGTGCTGCCCGACTGCCCTCACTCCTCATCCCGAGGAGCGAGCTGTCCCCCTGGTGGGCCTGCCACACACAGGCTCCCGCCACACTCTGCCCGCAGGCATTCCCTCCCTCCAGGTCCCTTCGAGCAGGAGGAGGCTGGGCTGAGTGTCAGACCTGTCATTTCAGACAGCACAGACACCCCGCGGTGATGTCACCAGCCACAGCAGCTCCAGGATGTCAGATACCAGCAGCCCAATTCATCAGGAAAGTAGAAATATGACAGTCCTTAGATGCACATCCGGAGACAGGCAGGAGCCCACACGGATTTGTCAAATTAAAAATGAAGGCCAGAGGACCATCTCCATAGATGTTCTAGTGAATTTTGAGTTGGGAAGAAAGGGTAGGCCTGATTTTAGGTAGAATTACTACCAAAAGTCCTCAGATCTAACTGGCAACCACTCCTGACTACCTCACTGGCCATTCCCTGGGTCACTCCAGCCAGGAATCCATGACACTCTAACTGATGGAGAGGTTGGAATGCTTTTCTTAAAAAGAGGAACTGGATCAGAGAGTTTTTCCTAAAGTATCATGAGCCCTGGGGTGCTACGCAGCTCACATAGCAAGAATGGGTTCAACAAAGCAAATTTTAGACTACCCTGCCTGCACTGATGCCCAGCTGGGGCTGTGGAGGAAATCAGGTTAAGAAATGCATCATTTCTATCCTTCCAACTCCTATGTTGAAGAAATGGGAGTAGTTAGACAAAGACACTGTGGAATGTGGAACAAAGCGTGAGGGTTGGGAAAAGTACAGGGTGCCACAGGATTCCAAGAAGAGGGTAGTCGCATCAGGGCAGGGGGACTGAGGTGGACTTTCAGTGTGGGCCGCAGGGGAGAGGGCAGAAGTCATCCCCCAGGAGAGCTGGCTAGCAGGTTGGGGGAAGCGCATAAGGCCTGGCTGGTGAAGTGCACGTGCCACGCCCTCTGGGCATGGGCCAGCATTTTCCTGAGACTGGCCTGCACAGGAGCTGCACTAGGCACTGGAGGAGAACTTTGAACAAAACACTCCCAGAGTTGAAAGACAGGCTCTAAGAGCATTGGTGCCTGTAAGTCCTAGGGGCTCATGGGGATCTCCCTCCCAATGGGGTGACAGGATAGGGAGCAGCTAAGCTGAGCATCTGTGCCAAGGAGGTCTGGTATGTGCTCAGTTAAGACTGACATGGGCAGGCTGGAGCCAGCCCCTGGGGCAGGACTCCTGGTGGGAAAGAGCAGCCAGGGCCCAGATGGGAATGACCTTGCATGGTTGCTGAAGGTCAGTGCAGCTGGAACACAGGAGGGCAGAGGAGAGAGGCTCAATCTGAGGGCAGAGGCCAGGCAGCAATCCTGCCGGGCAACCCAGGTCCCCAAGAGCAGATTTCATTGCTGAGGAGTTGAGACCTGTGGAAGTTCTTCAGCAGGAGAAGGTGGTGAGTGCTGATTTGGGGACTGGTGGTTAACACTCAGGAAGGAAGGAGGCACTCCAGAGAAGAAGACTTCTCCATTGTTGGGGCAAGAGAGGACAATAGCTTGCACAGCCCAAGTCACAGGGATGAGAAGTAAAGGGATTGTGGAAGGGAGCCACCAATGGTCTTGAGAGCACCCCAAAGAAGACGGAGGCAGAACAGAGAACACCAAGATGTTTGCTTCATGCAACTGGAGGTTTTGTTTCTGAAATGAGGATTTCTGTGCAAGTTTAGGGAGAAAATTCTATTTTGAAAAATTATGTTGGCAATTGCTGTCGGTGTTAGTGATGAGATGTCTTGGAGACGAGTGCTCCATCTGATGTGTGTGTGGTAAAATACTGTAGGTTCTCTCTTCACCTCAATGATTGTTTCTTTTGCTGAGAAGAAGCTTTTTAGTTTGAGTCCATCCCATTTATTGATTTTTTATTCTTGCACTCTAGAAGTCTTATTAAGGCAGTGGGGCCTAATCCAATATGATGAATGTTTAGGCCTACTCTTTCTTCTACTAGGTGCAGGGTGTCTGGTCTAATGCCCAGGTCCTTGATCCACTTTGAGTTGAGTTTTATGTAGGGTGAGAGACAGAGGTTTAATTTCATTTTTCTACAGATGGATTTCCAATTTTCCAATTTTGTTGAAGAGGCTATCCTTTCTTCAATGTATGTTTTTGGCACCTTCGTCTAGTATGAGATAACTGAATTTATGTGGGTTTGCCTCTGTACCATTGGTCTACATGTCTATTTTGGTGCCAATACCATGCTGTTTTTGTTATTATTGCTCTGCAGTGTAGTTTAAGGTCTGGGATTGCTTTGGCTATTCTGGGTCTCTTATTTTTCCAAGTGAATTTCATGATGCCTTTTCTAGTTCTATGAAGAATGTCATTGGGATTTTTATAGGAATTGATTTATATCTGCATAACAGTTTTGATAGTTTGGCCATTTTGATCATATTGCCTCTGCCTATCCAAGAGCATGTGAGATCTTTCCATCTTCTAAGGTCTTCTTCAATTTCCTTCTTTAGTGTTCTGATGTTTTTATTGTAAAGGTCTTTCACCTCTTTTGTAACATTGATTCCCAAGTATTTTATATTTTTTGAGGCTATTTTGAATGGGGCAGTTTTCCTAATTTCTCTTTCAGTGGATTCATTACTTATGTATAGAAATGCATTTGATTTATGTGTGTTGATTTTATATCCTGCTACTTTGCTGAATTCATTTATTAGTTTTAGAAGTTTTCTGGTAGATTTTTTTTGGATCTTCTAAATATAGAATCATGTTGTCAGCAAATAGTGATAGTTTGAGTTCTTTTCCTATGTGTATCCCTTTAATTTCTTTTGACTGTTTGATTGCTCTGACTAGAATTTCAAGGACTATGTTGAATAGAAGTGGTGAAAGAGGGCATCTTTGTCTGGTTCCAGTTTTTAGAGGGAATGCTTCCAATTTTTCTCCATTTAGAATGATGTTGGCCTTGGGCTTAGCATAGATAGCTTTTACAATGTTGAGGAATGATCCCACTATCCCTAGTTTTCCTAGTGTTTTGAACATGAAGAGGTGCTGAATTTTATCAAATACTTTTTCAGCTTCTATTGAGATAAACATATGATTCTTGTTTTAAGTCTACTAATGTAAATGTTTCATCTATTGATTTCCATATGTTGAACCAATCTTGCATCACTGGGATGAACCCCACATGATCGTGATGTACTCTTTTTAATATGTTTTTGTATGCAGTTGACTAGGATTTTATTGAGAATTTTTGCATCTAATTTCATCAGGGATATTGACTTGTCTTTGTCTGGTTTTGGTATCAGGGTGATAACTAGTTTTAGAATGACTTTGGAAAGTTCCCCTTCTTCTCTATTTCATGGAATAATTCGAAGGGTATTGGTATTAGTTCTTCTTGGAAGGTCTTATAGAACTCGGCGGAGAATCCATCTGGCCCTGAACTTTCTTAGTTGGTAGGCTTTTGATGGTGTCTTCTGTTTCCTTGCTTGAAATTAATCTGTTTAAATTGTGTTTGTCCTCCTGATTAAGTTTGGGTAGATCATATGTTTCTAGAAATTTGTCGATATGGTCGAGATTTTTCTATTTTATTAGAGTATAAATTTTCAAAATAGTTTCTAACTATCTTCTGTATTTCAATAGTGTCTATAATATTTCCTTTTTCACCACAAATTTTAGTAATTAGAGTTTTCTCTCTCCATATCTTCATTAGCATGGCTAAGGGTTTATCATACATGCAAACATACACACCCACACTTAGTTGTGAAAAAAACCAGAAAAGTAGCTATCAAGTAATTGGGAGAGGCTGTTAAGTGAGTTTTACGTCTGTAGAGCAACATAATGAACATGTGTTTATGCTTTCCTCAATTCAAACGCAATGGATAAACCTCAAATATGTCACAATTCAGAATCACTTCTAGTAGAAAAGAGATGAAGAACAATTACTGTAGATAACCAAAAACTGCAAATCAAAACAAGAATGAGATAATATTTTTTAACCAACAGAGTGGAAAACAATGAAAAATATCAATAACACCCAGTGTTGATACAGATGTGGGAAAATAAGCACTTGTGCACTTTTGATAGAATTGTGAATAGCACAATATTGTTAGGAGTCAGCTTGGAGATAGTTAAATTCAATGATTCCGTTAGAAATTCACCCCACAGAAATGTGCGCACAAATGGCAAAAATGACTAGATAAGGAAGGCTGTTGTTACTTTATTTTTAGTAAAGGAGTCATAAAGTAAATCATTTTAAATACTCCCTAAATATACTGACATGGAAAGATGTTTATATCTTAAATGGGAAAAGGGCATGATCGTGCTATGGAAGATTCTTATTTTATTATAAATATTTACATGTGCATAAGGACATGTACGGTTTTACAAAAGTGACCAAAATGGAAAGTATTTATCAGACTATTAACTGAAGTCCTCTTGGGAAGCGAGCGAGGCCGGGGAGGCCAGCGAGGCCGGGGAGGGGAGCGAGGCTGGGAGGGGAGGCTTCCCTTTGACTCTGTGGTAGCAGTGTGGCTTCAGTTTAAAACCAGCAACATCACTTTCAAAGATTAACACTAGAAACTAAATATCAATATCAGAGATTGAGACAGGACCAAACGACAAGGGTAATGGTGCCGGGTGGGTGCAGCCAGACAGCCGGCCTCACACACCGACTGAAGGTAGTGGGGCCTTTCCAGAGGGCAGCCTTGCTGAGGCCTGTCTTTTCATCACTGTGACAAAGTACCTGAGGAAACCAACTCAGAGGAGGAAGGTTTGTTGGGGTCATGATTTCTGAGGTTTCAGACGCGGTCACTTGGCTCCATGGATTCTGGGCCGCGGTGAGGCGGAGCAGGTGGTGGAGAAGGTGGTGGAGCCCAGCTGCTCACCTGCAGCAGTCAGGAAGCCAGAGGGGGATGGGTGGGCGTGGCTGGGGACAAGATGTACCCTCTGGGGCACAGCCCCAGGGACCTCCTTCCACCGGCCAGGCCCCATGACGGTTTCCACCGTCTGCTGACAAGGCCGTCCGTCCGCTCGGAGCCCATCCACCGGGGAGTCCCTGATGGGGTCGGAGCCTTCGAGATCCAGTCACTTCGCAAAGCCTCGCCCCTGGACGTGCCGCCCTGAGGGCCAAGCCTTCCACAGGAGCATGCCAGATCCCAAAGATCGACACTAGAAACCAGTGACTGCTTAGACGTGTCTACACCCCAGACTCTACATGCACTCCCGAGAGCCTGTCCTAAGGGACGGTCAGGGTTCACGACGCAGGTGCTCATGGCCACACGCAAAAGTGAATTTATCGTCTAACCTTAGACTCACAGTCAGATACTCCATGGAGTGTAAGGCGGCACCAAAAATAACTCTTTTCATGTTGCTGGGGAAATCTAATGGGGGGATTTTGGGGGGAAATAGTCACAATTCTGCTTAGCATAAAAGCAAGACCAAATTTCTTCACGGTGCATAATCCTGTTTTACACACAAATAACGTGTGTATTCATCCACTAAAAGTAATACTTGAAGAAACTCATCCAATAAATTAACCGTGATTACCTCTTGGTAGCAAAATTAGAATTGGTATAACTTATTCTTTCTCTAAGTCTATTTTCCCTAAATGTTCTTCGGTGAGCACGCGTTCCTTTTCTAATTAGAATATTTTAGTAAAAGGAGAAATGTTACATTAGTATGGCTGTTCATCCCAACGCTCATTGGATTGTGTGTTTTGCTCAACTTGAAAAGCCTCAGAAGATACTGGAGTGAACACGGCTTCAATGAGGAGGTGGCTCCACAGGCATTTGCTGCTTCCCCCTTCAGGTACATTCCCACTCACCTCCTCCTCCTCCTCGCTGGCAGGCCCGGACCACCAGGACGCCCCAAGTGCCTCCCTGCTACCGAGTTGCCATAGGAGCCCGCACTAGGGCAGCATCTATTAGAACAACAGAAGGCTGTTCCTTGGCAGGGATTGGAATGGCTGCCGTTTACTCTGACCAATGCCGGTTTGCATTGCAGACTCATAAATCACATGCACACACAGGGAACCAAAGAACCCAAACAGTGCCAGCTAGTGTCTGTAGAAAGACACCATGTCTGCCTTTTCCCAAGCTCCCGAACAAGCTCAGTTCCAACCCACGTCAATCAACCTACAGTATCGCCCAACTCATCCTGAACCATGGGAACCTCTAGGAACCTGGGTGTCCAGAGGAGTCGCAGACACTTCTAACAGCTGCAAACTGTGCTTAGAGCTACCCTGGACTACCAAGAGTCCAGCAGCACAATCTTAGGTAAACTCAAGCCTGTCTATGCCCGCCTTAACCAGTCCTTGCTGAGCTGGCCCAAGGCCAGGCTGCACAAGTTTGTTCTTCTCTGAACTCATATTTATAAACTCAGCAAGAGGTGTACTATTAGTCCATGTTAAAAATAGTTAATGTCCAGTAGTAAACTAAACACTTGATATTTGTTACAGATTGCATCTCATGGACCCATGAGCAGGGAATTCCTAACACCCCCATTGTATAGGTGAGAAACTGGGACTCAGAGAAATAAGAAACATGCGCATTGCTGAGAGGGGCTGGAGCTGGGATTTGAACCCAAGTGATCCAGTTCCAAATACCCACACATTCTGCTACAGTTGACACCACACTGCCCGTGTCCTAGAACCGAGTGTCCACACTGGGTAACACGCCTTCCCTGGAACCTGCTCCGTGAGCTTACAACAACAACAAAGTCAGCCATTGCATCAAACCTCCGTAAAAGATCGGCAGGGAAGAGAGAAGGAGGCTCTGCCATCCCCCACCCCAGGAACATCTGGGACTGTCCCTGCTTCAGTCCCACCGTCAGGTCACTACCTTCAAGGTGGCGGCTGCCCTGCTCCACCTGGGAGGACATGGGCGTCTTCACACTTCTGAAGCCCGTCCCAGAGTCCAGGGACGTGTGAGAGGTGACACGGGTGACATGGGCATGGCGCAGCCTCTCTGGACTCCTTGAGTGAGATGATGATTCCTGCCCTGATTGTCTTCACATGCTAATTAGAAACAATTGGTGGGAATCATTTTGAACTCTAGATCCTCTGCATATTAGTGCTTAATTACAACACATCATTTGCTCAGAACAAGTGCTTGGACCCTGGGGATGAATCTTCCCTCCTTATCCCTTAATAACTATTCTGTCCCAGACCTGCGCTCCGCTGCTCCTTCTCGCAATATAAGAAAAATAGCAAATGATGATTTTTATCTCCATCATTTGTTAATCAAATGGTTTAAATAGAAAAATGAAAAGCCATTTAAAATCATAAATTTTTTTTTTCATTTTTTAGCATTAGGAGATTGTTCCCTTCATGGAGCAGAGGTTGTGTGGTCCCGTCACATACTGTGAACTTACAGTGTGTTCTGGTATCTTTTATCAGCATCTTTTGATTTTTGACAGTAAACTTGTTGCCTGTCATGGAAGCCACTCACCAAAGGACCTTCAATCACTTGTCACAGTACAAAGGGCCACATGCCTGTCCCCACCCTTTTCAATCAAACACAATGAGTCCATATTGCTTCTCTGGTGGGTCTTCCTGCATACTCGTCTGCAGTTTTAAACAGAATCATAGTTCTCACGACGGCAGAAAGATCCTCAGCAGTCGGGACTTGCCTAAGGAAATCCAGTCATGCTCTACTTGGCTGCTCTCAAATCTCTATGCATAAGTAAGTACCTGGACTTCCATCACTGATGACCCATCTGGAAAGGTCCTGCAGGGTCTCTCCCTACCTGCCTCCTCTTCCCTTTCCCTCCCTGTCCAATTCCTTTTAAGTTTTTTAAAAAAAGAGTTACTCTAGAAAGGCTCTAAACTGCACGTGTGTCAGCGTCGCTAAGCTCTTATAAAAATCATACAATTAGTCACTTGGCATATGCCCCAGCACTCAACTCAGGAAACATTCCAGAGCTTCCCATCCCAGCTACACCTTCTAGCTTCTGCAGTGACCCCCGGCTCTGCTGCCAAGACCCTGCCCCTGCCAGCCCACTGGCCTGTCTCCTTGGTGTGTCTTCCAGGAAGGCACTGAAAGGCAGACTCCCGCAGATGACTGGAGATTCAAGGGTGCCTGAAGGTCAGAGCCTGCACATGCATCTGTGTTTCACAGAGGGAGGAGCAACGCAGAAATAATAAGATGCGTTGTCCCCGGGATAACAGGATGAGTCAGAGCAGAGGAGCTTCCAGGAATAGACTCCAGATTTCCGTCTCCTGTTACCAGTCGCCATCACCACGAGGAGAATTCTGAGAGGGCAAAGTGACCTCACACATATTCCAAGCCCAGAAATATTTGTCTTAAACGATTTTCCAGCTCCTCTCAAGCTCTAATAAACTGAACTTTAAGTCTGTTGTTTTTTTTTTTTAATTTGACAGCAGGAAATCAGTGTTAAAACCCTACTTACAAATCTGTGTTAATGAATATATAACTTTTCTTGGGGCTACTGGACCTGAACCCAGAGTACAAAAGGCCTTTCTTTCTGCACAGATTAATGAGAACACCAGAGTCCTCTGGAAAGTTGTGCACTGGCTTCGGGTCAGCTGATGCTCCTGAGAGCCACCAGCTACCACGTCTGACATAGAAGACGGGGCCTCCCTGGGGGACTGAGGAGGACAAGTCAGGGCTCATGTGAAAACTGTGGGAAGTAAGAAGGAAAAAGAAGAGAGGCGAGAGGGAGAGAGAAAGAAGGAAAGAAGAGAGAAAGGGAGGGGCCGCGGGGACCTACCCCAGTGATCACAGGCCAGTCCAGCCCGGGGCTTGGTCAAGTATCTCAATTCATCCCAAACAGGGACTTCTTTGCAAATTCAGTGCAAAGAAACATGATTGTCAGCAAGAAGCAAAATCCCATCAGGTCCGCTGCCACCCTTCCTGGATGATGACAGGCCTCAGAGATGCAGAAGGAGCAATGGCACCGTCTACCCAGCTCCAGAAGGTGTGTCGGCTCTGAGGCCAAGGACACAGCAACAGTCTGTGAAATCGCGACTCTCACGGGCCCGGAGGAGTGACGCTCCACGGAGCAGAGGGAGGGGGGCGCTGGGTCAGACCCAGAAGACAGCCAGGTGACCTTGGTAAAGAGGGAAGACCCGCCTCAAACCAGGAAGAAAGGTTCCACTGACCCAGCCTGGGGTACAGAGAGGCTGCACCACACACAGCGTTTCTCCTAAAACCCAGGAGGTGTGGCCCCAAAGGGATCCGAGGTGACCTTTGAGCTGTGCGTGGCCCCCAGCACCTTAAGGAAATGAAAGCTGCTTCCCCAGTGTGGGGGGGGAGGGAAGAGGGAAGAGATCAGCGCCCCCTCCCGGGTTACTTCTCCACGGTGGCCTTCCCACGCTCGGGCCTGTTATGGGTAGTGCAAATTGGACTGCAGACTGACCTCCGAGTTATCACAAATCCCACCTAATGTCATAGAAACAAATGACCCCCGTACGTGAAGAAGATACGGCAGCCTTTCCCAACCGTGTTTTCTAGTGGAACCCTGGTGCTAAGACACCCTTTGAAAAAGGATTCCAAAGACCAGTGTAACAGCAACAACAAAATCAACAATGGCAATACCCCCCCCACACACACACACACACTACCCTATGCCAAGCACTGGGTACTAATCACGGTTCTCCAGGGAAAGATGACCAATAGAATGTACACGTTTATATATACTGAGAGACAGAGAGAGGGTGACAATAGGGGAATTATTATGGGAATTTCTCATGTTATCATTATACTGTCTGTAAAGTCCTACTCTCTGCCCACTCTCTGCAAGCTGGAGACCGCATTCGCAGGTCTGGCCCTGCTCCAGCCAGGTCCTCAAGGGCCTGGATGTGGCCCTCCACATTGGTGAGGGCAGATCTTCTTTACTTAGTCTACTGACATGAATGCTGATCTCTTCTGGAAACATCCTTGCAGATCCACCCAGAAAGCAATAAGTTGACCTGGGCATCCCTTAGCCAAGTTACGTTGACACAAAATTAGCATTCACAGGCTGTTCTAAGAAGCAAATGCATTCAGGAAAAATAAACATCATGCGATTGCATCCCTCTTTTATTTAGTCCCATAGAAAGGAACCTATTTACCTTTCTGTGATCTGATGCAGTCTAAATTAATTTGATAATGGGACCTTATTTCTGCACAGCCTCTATTAACAACAGTTTGTGAAATACTGTAGTGGATTCATTTTTTCCATTCCACATATTCATTGAGTGTCTTCTTCTGACAAGCATTGAACTAAGAAAATATTAAAAACGGGAGAGATAGAGAAAATAATAGAAAAATAAAGATTCAAGTGACACCAAGTTAAAAGAATCAACCAGTAAAGTAAGTCTTGCAGTCTTACTTGCATAAGAACCTGGAAAGTGTGGCAGAAATATGTTTTGCGAAGATTGTAAAGGCAGGCACTGTTATGGCCAGGCCAAGTCTGGTGGCATCTGCAGCCCATTCAGTTTATCTAGCACAGGCTGAAGAATTTAAGAACCCTTAACCCTCAAAATAAAATTCATTTTGATTATTTTTAAACAAGGACCTTAAATCATGTAGATTTGCATCAAGTACAAAAGAAATTTGTTTAATGGTAAGAAAAATTTTCTTGTCTAAATGATTAAATGCTAGTGCACAGGCTACCAAAAGAAGTTACAGTCCTTGAAATCTCTACCGATATCAGGTATTGCCATTTTTACTGTGTGGCTGGCTAGCATTGCTTGAGGCAGGGTCCTGAGCCAGCACACCTCCAGAACTTCATTCCAGACCTTTAACTGCAGCTGTGAGGGAATGCAGAATAATAATAATAAAAGTATGTGTGCACACGTGTGTGTGTGTGCATGTGTGTGTAAGTATGAGAAAGAGAATGGCCTGAGAAGAGCAGCCTAATATTAAATGTCAAAGCCAAGAGGCAAGTTTTGTTTTTATTCAGGGAGCAACGAGAATAGAAGCAAAGGAATTTAGATTATAAATACCATAAAGCCCTCACTTAAATATTGGGTGAGATTTTCACACTTTATTGTATCTGCTATCCCCAATTATAGTAATTTTCATTTCCCCTGAGCAATAATTGAGAAAGTTAAATTTATACAAGAACCTAAATGTCAGAAACCCCATTCTCTTAAAGTGTGTCAAAGCCCTTAAATCCTTGCTGTTGTTCAAACTCCAACAACCAAGGATAAGCAACCAGGGTGCTGCTCTGGTTTAAATGACCCAGTCTGGAGCCTGGACTCCTGTGGGGCTTCGAGAACAACGCTGTGACTGCACGTGTGGAAAAGGCGGCAGGAGAGACAGTGCCCCCCTGCGGGCAAGCGCCAACCCTAATGACAGTGTCAGCTCGGGCTTCGAGGTTGGAGAGGGTCCTGCCTTCCAGGGGAGCAACTGCTAGTGCTTCCTACTGGCATAGCAGTGTGTGTGTGTGTGTGTGTGTGTGTGTGTGAAACACACTCAGGCAGGTACACACACACCTTCTTATGAAATCCTCTACCACCTTCAAAGACCGGGACCAACCAGTAGTTGTATCATAAAACCTCCCTACCCTCCATTAAAACCTCTCTCTTCTCTCCCCTCCTTCTTTCTCTCCTCTCTCTCTCACACACACGCACATGTGCACACTCATGCACGCACACACACATACTCCCAGGCCCCACTAGATGATAGCGGCCATTCTAATTTTAGCCACCTGCCATCTGCACCAAAATTGTCATGGGACACCGATCCCCTACAGGGTCTGTACACAAACATTTCCTTCTAACCCCATTAGGAAACAAATCTTCATAAACCATAATATTACCTCCTATTTTTTCTTCATATATTTGGTGCTTGAAAGGAGTGTTATTTGACTGAATAAATCTCAATTCATGTATTTTTAACTACAGTTGGCTCTCCATATCCGCGAGGTCTTCGCCTATGGATTAAACCAACCTCAGATCAAACATACTGGAAAAACATTGTGATTCACCTTGAATCAGGTATTATAAGGAATCAAGAGGTGAGTTCACGTGCAGAGGAGGATGTGCATAGACTAGAGAAAGAAGATTGTATGAAAACAAATGAATTTCCAGAATATTCATAGCTAAACAGCATTCCATCCTGCCCACGTCCACCTCCCCTGCACGTCACTCTTGGGCACACTTGTCAAGATCCAGACCAAGAGGAACTGTCCCTCCTGCCAGTGGAGCACACCTTTCCCATCCTATTCCCTTTGCCAACCTGAAAAGCCATTAAATGCCTAAAGGGCAGAGACCTTGGGTGACTCTTTCTTCCTACCACCCACAAACAACGGTCTTTAAAAGACTCGTCTCGGTTTCTCAGCACCCTTTTTCTGATTGTTGGCAACAGTTCCATTCTCGCCTTCCCATCTTTCATCTTCACAGGGAATCTGTCCCTTGTTCAGAAAAACCTCGGCAGCCCAGCATAAGGAAGGGCCCCACTTCTGCATGTCTGTTAACATGCAAAACAACCTGATGCTTCTGCCGGGTACGCTGCATGTGTGGCTGATACCCGTGCTCCTTGCAGAAGCTTTGATGCCTGGAAATCATGTCTGAGAAGTGCAAATCTTCATAAAAACCCAAGGAAGCCCCATGACTGCTGGCCAGGATAGAAATGTGAAGAAAGAAAAGTTGTCTGTGGAAGGAAGACACAAGCAGGAAGCAGGTCCGTCATGAAGGGCTGACTGTTGACATTAGCATGGTGGTCATCCTGACCTGTCCTGTCCTCTGGAGAAGGCCCAGCCTCCCTGCGTGAAAGAGAGCCCGGGCCTCCTTCACCGCGAGGAGGGCAGGTCTCACTTCTTCACGTTGTTTTTCAGTCTCATGCTGCTTTTCCTCTCACTGGCTTGGACCTTGTGGGTAATTTATTTAAAAGACTTAACAGGTCCCTTATGGCTGGAATCCATTTTAATCTCTAAATTGAACACTCTATTCAATTGAGCTTAAAAATGAAAGCGTCTGATGTTTCAGACTGAAATGGTGAGAAGTCTTCTGATTATAAATATAACACTTGTTACCCTATGATATTAGTCAAATCTAAACAAAGTATAAAAATAAAAGCTTCCACAGTTCCTCCACTTAGGAATGCCCACCCTTTTATGTCGTGGCATATGTTCTTCTAGCTACAGATGAAGTATTT